AGGGTGTGGGATGGGGCTCTGCGTCTGGTGTGGCCAAGTAGCCAGTACTCAGTCAGTCTGCACAGGTAACAGCTGTAAATTCTGCATTAAATACCACCATGAAGGGGGTGCGGGCACAGGAAGAAAGGAAACTTCTGGGAGGCTCTGAAGAGTGAAGGAAGGTGGAAGGTTCTGGAAGGAGTTGATGTGTAGAAGGAAAAGATGCTCCCGTGGGTTTCCCAGTCTGTGGCCTGACTCCCAACGGTAGGAGAGTGGGACAACCTTTGCTCCTGCAGAAACCCACTCTTTCTAGCCCAGAGGACCAGAGGACAGAGTTTCGGGCAATCACAGCCACTGGGAGGTACAGAAGGAAGTCCGACCAAGAGAGGAGCCTGGAGGGGACGTCGGGGTCGTGTGAGCTTTGCAGAGCTGTGGAAGGAAAGGACGAGAAGACAGAAGCCCAGGAGATAGTTCATAGTTTGAACCTAGCCAAATTGATGCCAGCCAAAATTAATAAAGAAAGCAAAAACATACAAAAATAAGTTTACTCTTTTCTGGTGAATATAACAAAATACAGAGTTTCTGTAGAATTCAAAATTTGGAAATGCTGGGTGATTAACATTCAAGAGGCAGGAAAATGGGCAAAGGACCTGAATAGACAGTGTTCAAAAGAAGACATACTGGGTTGGCCCCTAACCTGGGGTTAGGGGAACTGGTTCCTGCATGGCTGACCACGTGTTTGACTCCTAGCCAGTGGCTTGAGAAGCACTGTGTGTGTGTGTGTGCGTGTGTGTGCGTGTGCACGTGCGAGTGCCTAAAATCTCGGCAGGATGGAGAAGTGGAAGAGGGGATTGTGGCATGATCACACCTCACTGGAGGTACTTTTCTTCTGTTCCCTTCTCACTGTGTCTTCATGGTAAGCACACGCACCCTCTGGGAGTTATTTATTCCAGTAAGAGGGGATTGAGATCACTTAGAGTATGTTACTTGACCAAAATTGGAATTCGATTCAATTAGCAATAAATTACACGGTGTCTAGGAAAAACTCAACTACTTGGAAGTTAAACAACGTCTAGGTAATTTATGGATCAAGGGGGAAAAAATCACCAGGAACATTAGAAAATGTTTTGAACTGAAAGACGAGAACATAACACAGCAAAAATGTGAGGAATGTGGCTGA